GTTTGGGGATTGGTCACCTGGCATGGAGGCAGCCTATTGGGGTTCCCGGTCTCCTTTACAAGAAGTTCCTTCTTTAAAGCACTTTCCAGTCCTGACTCATAGAGACTAATCTACAAGAAAAGTTCAGATTCTATCAATCAGTGAAGCAGAAAGGCGAGGGGTGGGGAAAGGCCTGACCATTTAAACTGTGGAGACCTCCTACAGTGGGCAGTGCTCTGAATATACAGAACATCAAGTGGGTGGTTTGGGGATTGATCACCTGGTACAGAGGCAGTCTACCTGGGTTCCAGATCCCCTTTACCAGGTCCTTCTTTAAAGCCACCAGCCCAAGAGATATTATTTCTACTGCCCTAGGAGGCAAATGCTACCCAGCTCAGTTGTCCTCTGATCCAGCGCTCCTAAAGATTTTGTCCTGAATTAGCCTGGAGATCTGCAGGAAGCCCTATGACACATACGCTCCCTGCAAAGCTACACATCCCAAGATACTTCAGATCCCACAAATCAGTAAATCTGAAAAGCGAGGGCTGGGGAAAGGCTAGCCGATTTTAATTGTGAAGACCTGCTACAGTGGGCAGTGCCAGTATGGCAACATCAGCTTTGACTGCACAGAACTTTAAGTGGGCAGTTTGTGGATTGATCATCCGGCATGGAGACAGCCTACTGGGGTTCCTTGTCTCCTTTACAGGAAGTTCCTTATTTAAAGCACCATCTAGCCCCGACTTATATTGATATATCCACAAGAGACTTCAGATTCAATCAGTGAAGTAGAAATGCGAGGGATGGGGAAAGGCCATCCCATTTTAATTGTGAAGACCTCCTACAATGGACAATGCCAGTATGTCGACATCAGCTCTGACTGCACTTCTAGTGGGCAGTTTGGGAATTGGTCACCTGGCATGGAGGTAGCCTACTGGGGTTCCCGGTCTCCTTTACAGGAAGTTTCTTCTTTAAAGCACTTTCCAGTCCTAACTCATAGAGACCACTCTACAAGATATTTCCTATTCTACCAATCAGTGAAGGAGAAAGCCGAGGGGTGGTGAAAGGCCTGACCATTTTAATTGTGGAGACCTGCTACAGTGGGCAGTGCCATTATGGTGACACCAGCTGTGAATGTAAAGAAATTCAAGTGAGTGGTTTGGGTTATGATCACCTGGGACAGAGGCAGTCTACCTGGGTTCCAGGTCCCCTTTACCAGAAGTTCCCTACTTTAAAGCACTCTTCAGTCCTAATTTATAGAAACTCATCTTCATAATAGCAGGCCGTCCTAAAGGAATGAGACTAATCTACAAGACAAGTTCAGATTCTAGCAATCAGTGAAGCAGAAAGGTGAGGGGTGGGGAAAGGCCTGACCATTTTACCTGTGGAGACCTCCTACAGTGGGCAGTGCCAGTATGGTGACACTAGTTCTGAATGTACAGAACTTCAAGTGGGTAGTTTGGGTAATGATCGTCTGTGACAGAGGCAGCCTATCTGGGTTCCAGGTCCCCTTCACCAGAAGTTCCTTCTTTAAAGCACTCTTCAGTCCTGATTCATAGAAACTCATCTTCATAATAGCAGGCCGTCCTAAAGGAATGAAGGAAGGTAAACTGACCAAACTGATATAAAGTGCCTCTTGTTCAGTTTTAAGCTAGCCCCCCAGGTCACAAGCTGTCTGTGCAATATCCATTAGGTTCTCAACAGGTGGGTCATGATCCAAAAGTGGGTCGCACCCCTGTGTTCAGTTGGTCACCGCATGCCTTCCACTTTTCTAGGTGAGAGGCTGCTCAGCCTCTCCCTAGCGCAGCATTGTCTATTCTTACACCAAGCAGCCATTCAAAATATGCTGCCCAGCACTGAGTGTTGACTTGAGGTGGGGTGGGGTGGGCTGGGGGTATGGCCACGAGTGAGCTCCCTCCATACGTGCATAGCTTATAGCTCCCTTTTTTGTCCTGTAGAGGTGCATGGACTGGAGTGACATCACATTCTGACTCCCGGGACCTCAACTGGTGCACATGTGGGCTGCACAAGCAATGCACATATGGATGGAGCTCCATCACAGCACAGCAGCTCACACTGCCATGCGTTCCATTGCAGTGCGACTTGGGCCACGACTTAATGACCGAGGACAAATGTGGGTCCTGAGGTTACACAGATTGAGAACCACTGCTTTAAAGTGACCGTCAGCTATGTAGGAAAGGAACTTCTTAAATGGATGTACACATGTACTGGATAGACCAAAATCTGTTCATTTTGCAGGCAGGCCATGTGGACTGTTAATTATGTGAAGGTACAAGACACAAAGAACTCATGAGAATCTCTCTTTATTGTTGTATATATTAAGGTACCACAATAGAATTGTAGGATATACACTTGTCTGTGAGCACGGTTACATCACACATACACACACACACACTCACGGGTAACAAACCTTGCACTTTGGAAAAAAAACTGCACATGATGAATTTCCACCCCTGTACAAATCCCTTGTGTGTGTGTTTTCTCTTCGAGGTGAACTCCATAATCAATAAGGGTTCCCAGCTGCAACTGAAAGGTGGTCTGTGATACTTAATGAGATTACTTAACAATACCGAGCACAGAACAATGAAGCCCAGAAATCCACTGCAGACAATCAGAAATTGGCTTTCACGGAGGTGACTACACTAAGCGGCTGAAAGCTGAACTCCAGGAAGATATGTAGACACAAATGAATGCTCAATATTCATTAATACATCAATTAGGTTTTGTTTTTGTTTTTTTTTTTATACAAGCAGTACCTAGATTTGACCTAGAATCAGTCTCTTGGAATCCACTGTACAGCAGTGCTCAAGCTGGGAGAGGGAGAAACAGCAAAAGGAACTAATCACAGGCTGGGGGAGGGACAAGACCTGTAAGTATTACTTAAAAACTTGAGTCCAGCACTAGGCGGCGGCTAATATCCCAATGCTGTTTTAAAATGTCATGGCACTTCCTCTGAGTACGGAGGCTGCTCTGTCCAGCACCTCATGGCGCTAACAGATCCCTGCTATAGTAGCCTATTGCTGGCTGATGACAACCAGCAATAGATCACTATTAGAAGTGGTTTCCTGTTGCACAGCTAGATGGGGGGTCTAGATTAGGTCTCCACTGACCAGATCCCACATGAAAAAAAATGTATATTTGTATTACAAATTAGAGACTTAAATAAATAAATAAATGAGTATAATGAATAATAATATTATAGGTAATACAAAAATTTAGTTTAAAAAGTTTTAAAAAAGAAATATAAATGAACAGTATATGCATATAGATATATATTTATTTATCTATATGGATATCCTAAAAATAAATGAAAAATATTGCCACCCAAAATAATCCGCAGGTTTCAACATTGACTTTGGATGATCTGGATGGCATTTGGGTTCACTGCTAAATGCAGTGCCATTTGAATATTAAGTGACTACAAAGCCTCCATTGTGCTAATTTGTGCCCTCCTCAACCCAAATTAATCTTATCGCAATGTAGCGTCAAAAGGGGAAACAATCTCCTAAAGTAAAATGGTAGCGTTCACTTTCAGCTTTGCCACTTCACAATGTTACATGAAATTCGCACCAATGTGATAGAATTTTATTCAACTGACTTTGTTGATTAGGCTTTGGGGTAAATCTATTGGGGGTACGAAAATTACATAAACATTGCGCTGGGAACAATTACAGGTTCTTCTTAAATTTTTTTAGAGCTGCAGCTAACGATTATTTTCAAAATCGATTAGTTAGCCGATTATTACGTTCGATTAATCGGTTAATCGGATAAACAATAAAATAATTTTTTTTTAAAATGGCTCCAGTGATGGACTACTAGTTTGTATTGAGATTGTAGTCCATCACAGGAGCAAGCTTGGAGCGGTGGAAGTAAAAAAAATAGTGTGGTGTGCAATATAGTGAAAAGGAAAGTGTAAAATTATACAGCAATGAATGCAGAATGGCACCGGCTATAGAGGACTACAAAGCCCAGCAATAGTACATTATACAGAGCAATGCAGAATATCACCAGCTATATAGGAATACAACAAATCCCAGCAATAGTACATTATAGCTGGCGGTATTCTGCATTGCGCTGTATAATGTACTGTTGCTGGGTTTTGTAGTCCTCTATAGCTGGTGGTATTCGGCATTGCACCACTGTATAATGTATTATTGCTGGGCTTTGTAGTCCTCTATAGTTGGTGCCATTCTGCATTCATTGCTGTATAATTTGACACTTTCCTTTTCACTATATTGCACACCACACTAT